GGTACCCTGCTGTTTTTAAGCTCTGTCATCACATTATGTCATGCTAAAGAACCTCAAGTTTAATGTCAAGTCTATTTATTACAACCTCCCAGTCAGTTCCTACCCATGTTTTGCGCACCTTCAGCGATCTTTTGGAGTTCTTTTTACATTTCCTTAATATTTTTTAATTTTGCTACTAGGCACCCGCTTTAGACCTTTGTCTTTGGAGCTTCCTAAACCGCTATTTCCAATTGCTGGGTATCCCATAGTTTACCATCATATTGAAGCTTTTGCACAAGTAGCTTTTCTATCCTTAGGGTAAATCTTGATTTTAGCTTGATTCTATCCGGGAAGTTGTATTGATTGGTTTTTATCAGCCGAATGATGCAATTAATCAACTTATCTACTCCTGCCAAAAAGAATTCAAGATCCAGATTCGGTATTATCTTGTCATTAAGACATTACTCATATAATTAATTTATTATTGACAGCTATCTTCAGGAGTTTACTTCTTTGGGTACTGCCGGCGGAATTTACCAGTTCCGAGACCAACTATTAGCAGGCGAGCCTGACCTTTTGTTCGTCATGAATTCCGATGTTTGCTGTGATTTGCCATTAAGAGAGATGTTGGAATTTCATAGACAACTGGGATCTGGAGATCGTTTTGTAATGATGGCTACTGAGGTATTTTTTTCGTTAGATATTATTCTGATACTACAAGCTCTGTTACTTTTAAACTTATTTTGCTTGGTAACTGCACTATTCCACTAAACAAATAATCAAAATACTTATTTACAGGCAACAAGGCAGCAATCAATGCAATACGGATGCATAATAGAAAGTACCGAAACACACGAGGCAAGATTTCCCGACTACTATGTAATTCAGCCTTTATTTTAGGTCCTACATTACGTCGAGAAACCAGCTACTTTTGTCAGCACTCTTATCAATTGTGGTGTTTATCTTTTTACTCCCGGAATCTTCAAATTTATTCGTATTGCTTTTCTTGAACACCAAAATTCGCTCAAGTGATGATATTTGTTTTCGTTTATCATAGATATTTAAAAAAATTTTAGTCAAGACATCAAAGGTCAATGTAAGGAGAGCGTTCACTTGGAAAAAGAAATCTTTCAACCCCTGGCCGGAAGCGGAACTCTTTTTGTCTTTCATACTAATCGGTTCTGGAGTCAAATCAAATTTGCAGGGTAAATCTTTTATGCACACCACAGATTGAGTATTACGCGACTTTTAAATTACGTTTTCTTAGTTGCCTATCTTTACTTTTTTGCAATTCTCGATTTTTGTCGCATCATCCTGTTAAAGTTTAAACCCCTAGTTTCACTCCTTAGTCCGTTAAAACTTTGATCGCATTGCTTATCAAGGGCTCATTTTAGCATGTGATCCATTCGGTCTTGATTAATTTAGATGAAAGTTAAAACCGTATTGTATCGTGGGAAAAATTAACTACCAGTCCCCTTATCGCTCTAAACGTAATAGAGCGAATAAACCCCATGCATAAGACTTATTTTCATTGTGAATGCTACTAAGATTAATTTACCATAGTGAATAATTTATATAGTAGTAGTACAAGTTTTGGTTAGTCATCGAGATGTTGACAACACAAAATTGGCGTGTGCCCACAACTAACTAATCGGGGCTTTACATTTTCTAAGAAAATATTTCAAGTTAATCGAAACCCAGTTACTCTTTATAAGTTAATCACATTTAGCTTGTTTTGCCTTTTTATGTATGAATCGTACCCACAATATTTCGAAGTATTTTTTATTCTTTGTTTTCTTCGTCTTAAGATAATAGTTATATAATTCCTCGTTATTTCACATATATGAAGACCAAGTTGATCTTGTCTTTGTCTTTGTCTCAGTGTTATTTTGCTTTATAAAGTTGATTTTATCACGTTTCCTTAACTTAATCTTGCCTTCATGTAGACATCTAAAAACCTGCCCGTACTGCTCCCTCCGCTATTATCACGAGTTTTTCGTGTATGTGACTGTGTATTGAGTGCATTATCACCTATTTATCCAATGTAGATTTCGGGACTAAAAAGCTTATGATAGGTGCTAGTCACCTTAGGCTTTATAAGTTGATGATTTTTTTCACAATTCTTTGAGTAATCTTTACGATGCCATTGCACTTCAGTTGGCTTTACCTCCTATAGATTAGTTTTAGCTAGGGTGGATTTAAGTTTCGATCTCATTTGAGTCTCATCAGCGTCCCAGCAAGGATTAAACCCAGGTACTGCATCCTATACCCTTGAAATGTTACCATCACGCCACAGGACTACGAGTTTCAATTGTTCACACGACAGACATCGCTTTAAAGGCAAGTCGGATCTTTTTTATCACATATATAGTGGGGTTGTCGATAAGGCAAATCATATTTTGCCATTACAATCGACTACGACATTTATTATCATATCAGGTAGGCTTCTTATTTAAGATATATCGAACTTTACTCAATCTGAATATATGTAATGAAATCAAGTGTAATAGCAAATACAAGTATGTATTAATCACAATCATTCTATAAATGTGATGTGGGCCTGGCTTGCCTTGAAAGTCACGTCT